AGCTGAGACAGCTGGCAGGGTGCAGGGACGTGGCAGAGGTAGGTCCTGCGCTCCAGCCTGTCTACCGGCACATGCAGGAAAACCTGAAGATCTTTGGGGCTGCCCCAAATGGTGCTGTGGTGTGGACCGGGGCTGGGTTTGTCCTGCCGCGTGATGCTGTGCTGGACTATCCTGAGGGGCTAGAGCTGGGGATGCTGGTGCCCCGAGTGCACCCTGAGTTCCTGCCCTACAGCTGCCTCTTCAGGGCTTGGGGGGTGGAGGTGACGGTGAGCGAGGAGAGGGCAGCTGCAGCCCTGCGCTGCCTAGGGCAGGACATAGATGGACGCGGCTCCAGAGCTGGCACCGACGCAGAGTTGAAGGTGACTCTGGCTGTCCTGGAGTGGCTGAAGAATCGGGGGCACCAAGGCAAGGGCAGAGTACCGGTTCCTGTGAGGATCCCGGAGGGTCCGGGCTTTGCCCTCCGCCCAGCTGACTCTACCGTATACCTGGATATGGAGTTGGAGGGAGAGGAGGATGCTCAGGAGGTGGTGCACGAGGCAGTGCCATCCGGCACGGCCATGTTCTTCGGCACGGTGCTACTCAGTACACGGGTGCTTGGGCCAGAGCCATTCGCAGTGTGCGGCCCCTCGGAGCCCATCACCTTACGGCTCCGCAACATCCTCCGGGAGTACGGCGAGGAGGGCGACCTCTTCACAGAGATGGTCCAGAATGCAGAGGATGCCGGAGCTACCGTGTGCCGCTTCCTGCTGGACATCCGAAGCTGCAGAAAAGCCACCTCTGGTCTGCTAGACCCTGGCATGGCTACCTGCCACGGCCCAGCCCTCTGGGCCTACAACAATGCCCTGTTCACAGAGGATGACCTCCATAACATCACACAAGTTGGGGCTGCTACAAAGGAGGGCCAGGCAGGCCGGATCGGGCGCTTTGGGCTGGGCTTCAACTCTGTCTACCGCATCACAGATGTGCCAGCGGTGCTGAGCGGGGAAACGCTGCTCATCTTTGATCCAAATGGCACCCACTTGGGCAAGCACATCCCCAGGGCCGGCTGCCCTGGCATCCGCCTGGACTTCTCCAGACGGCCACAGATCCTCCGTGTCTTCGCTGAGCAGTTCTGGCCCTATCATGGTATCTTTGGGTGCTGCCTGCCCAAGCCAGGACCCTTTCCAGGGAGCCTTTTCCGCCTGCCTTTTCGCACTGAAGAGGAGGCTGTGGCATCACAGATTTGCTCAGAGGCCTTTGGTACAGAGCGCATCCAGGCCCTTGGCACCAGATTCCTCGACTCTAACCGGCTCCTGCTGCTCTTCCTGCAGAAGGTAAGGGAGATGTCCCTGGACACGCTGCCAGACAAGGCCACCTTTGCGGAGGACACCATGCCTCTGGTCAGGCTGCGGCGAAAGGAACTCCGGGATTTGGGGACACCTGGGGAACCCCCAAGCTGGGCAGCCATCGAGCAGCTCACCGCCTATGAAGAAGACTCGAAGACCACGTGGCACTACCTAGTTTTGGTGCGTCGGGATGATGGGGAGTTGCTGGAACTGTTTCACCAGCACACACGGGCAAAGCTCCATCCTCCGCTTCCTACGGCTGGTGTAGCCCTTCCTCTCGCCCGTACAGCAGATGACAAGTGGGAGCCACGTCTGGATGCTGAGGAGGGGCAAGTCTTCTGCCACCTTCCCATGCCAGTTACCTCAGGGCTGCCAATCCACGTGCACGGGGCCTTCAGCATCCTCTCAAACCGCAAAGGGCTGTGGGACACAGCGGAGCGCGGTGAGTGGAACCGGACGCTGCTCCGCAACGCTGTGCCGGCTGCCTGGCTCCGGGCGCTGGACCACCTCCGCACCATGCATGAGGCAGGTGAGCTGAAGAGCTACAAATATCACGACTTCTGGCCAGACATCAACACTGCCCGTTACCCCTTTACGGAAGCTGTGACTGGTTTCTACCAGGCTGTGGCTGCAAAGAATGGCCCCAGGCTGTTTTCCGACGGCTGCTCATGGTGCTCGCTGCGAGACGCCCGCTTCCTGCACCGGGCTGTGGTCAGGCACCCCAAGCTGGGTGCCGTGGCAGAGCGTGTCTTTGCCACCACCCTTCCCCATCCCCTGAGAGCTGTGGCCTTGCCAGAGCAGGTGCAGAGGGGCCTCGGGAAGGCAGCGGACGCTGGCACCTATGACTGGCCCCGGTTTTACTGCGAGCTTGTGCTTCCCAACTTGAAAGACCTCTCTGTCGTTGACCGGGACGAACTGGTTGTCCACGCACTGGATATGTTCCACATTGACGTGGACAAAGCGCTGCAGACAGTGCCCTGCATCCCTGCCACCCCTCATGGCCACCTGCAGTTCATCAGTCACCTGGTGCATCCCAGAGGCCGCACCGCCTCTTTATACGACCCGGAGGATGGGCGCTTCCCCACTGGGCATGCCTTCCTTTCGCCAGAAAGGCTAAACCAGCTGGAGAGGCTGGGCATGGCTAAGGACACAATGGCCCTGCCAGAGCTGCTGGAGCGGGCAAAGACAGTGCAGCTTCTCTGGAGCAAGGACAGTGCCCAGGCCTGCCAGAGGGCTGCCTGCATCCTTGAGCTGCTTCGGGATGCGGTAAAAGAGAGGGTGAGCAACACCATGCAGGCAGCTTTCCAGGCCGTGCCTTTCCTCCCTGCTACACCGCCCGCTGGTGAACATGTGCTGTTGCCAGCTGCCCAGCTCTACCATGATGTCCATGCTCCACTAGTGGGACTCATCCACCCTACCTTGGATCCTAAAGCGCTGGGGGAAAACTTCAGCCTCCCCAAGGAGGTTGCATCCTTCCTG